AGCTCCTGGGGCTCTATGTCCTGCCACCCGAGTAGCCTTAAGGAAGCTGCATGGTCACAGAATGCCAGAAGAAGAAGAGACTTGGTAAATCATTTCTGAATCCTCCGTTAAAAACAAAAACAAAACAAAAAACTCTCTGGAGGCATCACCATACGTCAAAACTGACTTGACGAAAATGGAATTATGAAACGATCACAAAACCACACATTTTCTGCTTCTGCCCTGTGGCTGCACTGTGTAAAAATCAACAGTCAACAAAACAAAAAACAAAAAAAGATACATATATTTTGCAGCAGCAAAGAATTTTCTATCTTGGTTCCATAGTAGTGTGTGTGGGGTGTCTGGAGAAAACCAGACATGTTGGGTGAGGAATTCTGGGGATTACAGACCCAACAAGTAGCTTTGTAAACTCTGGTTCCACCATGATATGTATGTTGCTTGGAGAGAGACAGAAGGGCAGAGGGAAAAGATAGGGAGAGATACTAGGGATAGCAAACATACCAGCAGGAATGGCAAGGAACAGATAGAATGTCTGGGCAGTGGATGATGGAAGCATGAAGAGCGGGAACCCATCAGCTCCATGGATAAAAGTAAAAATACAGATGGGTGCAGGTAAGCCAATAATTGGTAGCAGCTAAGAGGAGATTGTCATTCCCCTCTGTTTTTGCTCCTGTCAAGCTGCTGTTAATTTTATTAACACAGTGCCCCAAGGGAGGGAATAATACCAATGTTCAGTCTTTATACTAAAAGTAAGCCTCAATAACATCAATAAGAAAAACCATGAATAAAACAAGCACTTTAAGGATGTGTCAGTTACCTGAATGAACTTAAAAACAGTTGGTCACTTATTTCTCTCTCTTAATTTTAACTGAAATTAAAATCCCTGCACAAGCAGGAAAGGACAGCCCCAAACACTTGTAGAAAGTACATCACTATTCAAGCTCAATAGGACTTTTTAAAAACTATATTTAAAAAAAAAAATAGAAATACAGATTATAAATTTAATATTCACCTGCCATTCAACATCGGGATTATTAACATTATCCTTGCCAGTCGTCGTGGCAAAGATATAATGATGGCCATAAAGAAGCAATTTATGGCTGCTAAGAGAACATGGAAATTCCAGTGGAGCAGCAGCACGCCGTTAGATATGCTTCAGGCAATTGTGATTTTCCCAGCCAGAAATTTTGAAGTGCCGTAGATAGTAAGCCAGAACAGGAATATCTTCTAACAGCCTCCTCACAAACACTGGATCCTCACTTTTCACATGCACCCCAAAAGTAATAAAAGAAAAATGTCTTTGTCAACAGAAGCAGCACTTTTAAGATTTCTGAATCTGATTTACTCATTGTAAAAAATTCTTAGAGCTGGATTCTACTTGGAAGTAAGTACAGAAAATCCTCTTCTGTGTAACACATACATAGCGTTACACAGGCCACTGTGTTAATCAATAGATGGCATGCAGGGCCAGGGCAAATGAGTTGAAAGGCCAGCTTTTTACTCATGAGCACATTCCAGAGGTCTCAACTTTGTCTATGTAACACAGGGAAACAATACATATTCTTCCTCACAGGGCTGTTGTCAGTATGAAGAACACGACGAGAATACACACATTTGGCAAATAATTTTGCAATCCCAAGAGTTATTATTTAGAAGTAGATCTAATTGAAACTGATAGAATTTTTCTGAAGTAAATACGATTTAGTGAAGCTGAAGTCCTAAAAGGTTGACAGTGCGCCCCACTGAATATTTAGGGATTTACTTCTCAGTAATCATAAACAGGATTCTGCTATATAAATATTACCAAAATAAGGGCAAATGAATCTACAAAAGTCATAATGATGAAAAAATATACAAAAGATGAAGTTTCACAGAAAACGTAGCTTATAAAGTTCTCTAATGACAAATTAATACTTTTTTAAAAATGATTACTGTATTTCATACAAGGTAGTTGAAAATTTAGGATAAAAAGAAAACCCAGCAGTAAAGTATACAGAAATATTGATCTGTACACATATGTGCTGTAGTGCCGTGCATGTTTACGGTAAAAGAAAACTCAGTAAGTTCAGTTAAACTTATTTCTGAAATTCAGACTGCTCTATGCAGTCGTTAAAAGCATAGTGCCACAATTAAAGATTAAACACACTTTTAATATAACATCAGATGAAAATTGTTCTTACAGTTAAGATAAATACAGACAAATTAATGAAAATTGAGGTTATTTCTCTCATAAAGATATACTTAAGAATTAAAAGAAATATTTTAATTTTTAAATCATCAAAGCGCTTCTATAAAGCTTTTAGATATGAAGGGTGCTGTGCTACTAGAACGATCTGAAGTGGCAACTGCCAAAATACATTTCTGCCTCAAAATGCACATTTTATGCAACAAGGACAATTTTTTGAACACAATAACTACAATAATAAAATAAAATAATCTACTCTACTACACAACGATCACAATATAGAATATGAAATATTTTCTCTGGTCTGCCATCAAAATGTACTGAGGTAGAATAAATACAACCCAACTACTTATTTAAGCGCCTTCAAACCGTAATACGAACAGAGGCTGGAATGGTAGGTCTATATACCACCTAATGGAAGATACACTTGTAAACATTTTCTCTGAATGTTTGCTTAAGAAAAGCAATGCGCCTATTATTACAAAATGATTCTGTTGAATGGAGTGAGAGGTACTAAGTCTATTACAAAAGACAAGTGGTAATCATGCACTAATTCGTTAAGGCTGTCAAGAACAATGCTGCACCAAGAGCCTGAGCCTTGGTTCTTCTGGCATCATGGGTTACGAAAAGAGCTATGAATTAATTGCAATTATTCAACAGCTATTTCTGTTTTCACTATTCTTCTGCTGTACGCAAACCTGATTATTTCCCAGTTAGGGTGAAATATATTTTCCCAGTAATGCTTTTTTTTTTAATTCTCAGAAGTATCTCATCTCCTTGTAAGCCAACTTTTGATCTTATAGCATTCCTTATCATAGGAATGTGTTTGGAAAATCACTTTATACTTTCAGATCAGTTTATATTCCATTACATTCTTTTTGTGCCAGCCTCTTCCAATTTATATGCCTTGTTCTCTCTCCTATGTTTAGCATGCATCTTTTTTTTTTTACCAGATTTTGATAAATTCTTTAAGAAAGGGCTGGCGTTCAGTTTTATGTGTCATAGAATTACAAAATGAGCATTAATACAGGAAGGATAACAGTACTTCAATGGCTTTTGGCTTCTATGCTAATTTCTAGGAACATAATACAGTAGTTTTTAATACCAATTTTTATAATGTCCAAATTGAGCTTTTTGCCAGAGTTTATTTTTAAGGTTTGAAAAAATTGATGGGAAATCAGTCATAATTTAATATTGCAGGACTATATATCTCCCGGGCTGCTAGTGGAGCAGCAAACTACAGCAGATAACCCAAGTTTCCTAGGAATGAAGAACAAGGAGCCAGGTATGAATGAACACAAATTAATTTCAACCATGAATCTGTTCTGCTGGGTGGCTTACTGACCAAGTACGAGGTTCAGCATACAATTTAGAGAACTGCCCCCTTTTTTCTTGGTACAATCCACCCGTTCTCCCCTACACAATTATGCCCGCATTTGTATTTGGAACAGATCGCCAAACGTAATCAAGAATGTTACTTTTAAAATATTCCTTTTGCAATGAAAATATATATTTTGCTATGATTTCTGTGAAATCATGCTCGGTGTAGGTTTGTGTATATACAGTTATTTTGCAGTTGCTACTCTTCAGAGGTACCAATGGAGGTTTATTTTATTCATTTTCTTCCTCTTTTTTTATCTGTACATAAGATGGGGAAGTTCAGGTGAGAAGCTTCCGGCAAGTGGGCACATACACCTCCCTTTCTCATATATGATGGTTCCAATTTAGATGATGGTTCTGCATAATTGCTTGGGAATAAATAAATAAATGGAAGGAAGCTTCAGTTTATTATTTAATTAAACATGATGTTTGACCAAAGTTCCATTACTCGTGAAACACATCTCTCTCCCTCTTTTAATTCGATAAAACTAATATAAGATCTTACAAACATGATCACAGGTTAAACCTGTTTTATGTCTCATGCTTCATAGGATCTCTGCCAACATTGTACCAGCCACATTCCCCAGTTCAAAGGACCCTAGAAATTCTTGCAGCTGCAGACCTATTAAAAAGCTGGTGTGTTCTACTCCCCCTCATCCTCTGAAAGTGTTCTTTAGGGGGGAAAAAAACAAGTTATCAGGTCTTAGACGTCTCTGTGAGAATGCTACAACAAGTAACAAAGAAACTACAGTTGAAAATAATAGTAGATACAGTACACATAAATATCATGAAATCTGCCTTCCAATTTTCCTTGGAAGGCCTTAAGCACACTCCCTAAGAGTTTCTTTGACCACAATGCCATCATCAAGTAAGTTACAACTGGTTGGAAAGGTAGGCCACTATAATTCTGAATGTTTCATATAAATGAAAAGCAATGCAATATAAAGACAGATGTGTGTGGGGGGGTGGAATTCTGGCTACAAACTGCAATTCCAAGTTATGCAAGCACAGCAGGTACAGACTGGCCTGATAGCAGTCAAAAGCCTTCACATTCGAATCCCAGACTTTCATTCTAATTTGCTAGTGTTTTGTTTGGGAAAGTTCTGCTTTACTCCTTCTGCAGCTCATTATTTCAGGCTTCTGTTTCTATTTTTCCTTAGAGTACATTTCTGTTGTTTATCTGGAATGTTTTTCATGTGCATTTCATTTCGCGCATCCACAGCAACATTTAATTACCCAATAGTCACAAATGGCATCTTGATCACTTAGTTTAATGGCACACGATCACTTAGTTTAATTATTCAGTGACGATGAATCAAGAAGCCCTACTAGCAAACCCATACGACGCCAGACACCAAATTCACTGTCACTTCCCCTTTCCCTGCTTTAACATTAATGGCGCAAAACTTCTAGCAAATCAGAAGCATGTATTTACCTGTAGAAAGCTGATGGAGCAGCTTCTCGCATAGCAAAACTGCTGGGTTCATTCTCCAGGTAGTAAGGGACTTGCTGGTTGTGATGAATAAAAGGTGAGAGCTGTGGTGTTGTCTGTAAAAATACAACAGGGCTTGGAGGGACATTATTCATAGAATGAAATCCCCCCAGATTGCTGGATCCAAATGATTCCGTTGTAGGGGCATAGCTGAGGCTGGCTGAGCTGTATACTGGAGCAGTAGTGGAAAAATCATAAACAGTGCCTTCCGGGTAGTTAAAACTCCCCGTCTTGCTGCTGTCCACGTACATTTCGCTGATCGGTTGTTCCAGAGGAATCTTCAGCTGTGGCCTGTTCAGAGGCTCTAGTTCATTGCCTTGTATCTGGTGCATTAAGGCAACACCGGAGCTTTTTGTGTGAAGGGTCATGGTCACTGGCAGTGGCACAGAACACGTAGCATAGCCAGCTTTCAGGCTGTGAGAGAATTCAGAAGCTGGCAATCCACCTGAAAAAAGAAGTAGAAATCCAAATAAAAGACAGAAAAAATCATGTCTTTTCGGCTGAGTTATCCAGCTGGACTTTTATCCTACTAGTCCCGGCAAGGAGGAAGATACAACTGAGCTGAGCGAAGCACAAGGAACTCTCTCTCTCTCTCTTGCTGCCTGACTCTTACTTTAAGTACTTCTCATCTGAGCTAATATGCTTTACAAAGGTGCTGGCGTTAGGCCAGATACTCTTGCCTTGCTCTGACATTCGTTTAAACATCACTTCAAAAACAATTAGTTCTGGATTTATACCAAATAATTGCTCCATTATTCTAACTGTAAAAAAAATTTCACTTCACGTGGCTCTGATAATCAAAGACAGTCAGAGAGAGAGAGAACGATGGTAGGGGCTCTTAAAAATTGCAAAATGTTTGCTTATAGCGCAGTCCACTCGTGCTGAATATTCCTGCCAGGCTCCAATTTATCTCTGCTTATCTGCACTCCCTGTTTTGTTCATCTTTATGTTTAATTGAAGTATGTAATGTGTATGCTGTACTGACCCTGGGGAGGACTACAGTGTAATAGATATGACACAGCAAAGTGTGTGTTTGTATGGGCACACTTGAGTGTGTGTGCAGCCAGCTACAAACCGTCAAATTCCATCATGAAGAAATCAAAGGGTGCTCTGTATCTATCTAGGAGAAAAGGCACACAAACACGCTTGCAGCAATTATCATAATTCGTGGTATTTAGCTGCAGCAAATAAACACTGGGGGGGGGAGCACAGGTAAGTTAAACCTGTAGTCAGCCCTATCGTGCTAATCAGCATGTTTCTCTGTTTTGCACTTAAAAAAAACAAATAAAATATAGAAAGGTAATAGAAAACATGGAATTGATCAAAACCTTTTAACATTCAACTGCATTTTAGCTGCATAAGAAAAAAACGATCATGTAAAACATGTCCAATAAGTCTCTTCCTCTTTTTGTTTTAATCTGCTATTTCGCTTTTACTTTAGGACTCCATCTATAGAAAAAAAAGATTTTTAAAAATTAAAAAGGATGTATAAACAAATCTGAAGTGAAAGAAAATGTAATTAGAATATTGATTTTACCATCTCATATTGTTTAACCTTATAGAATTGAATACCTTGTGCTTTGGAATTTATTCTTATCCCTCCGTCTACATCTACTTATGGCTCACATAGCAAAAAACATAAATGCCTTTTCTCCTAATATTAAAAATATGCAAGATTCTAAATTACCATCAGCTCATATATCTAACAGTAGAAATCAAGATTTTTAAAAATTTTATAATTAACATCCATAGCATACATGCATAGATAGCAATAATTACATATACAAATAATCCTCTCTCCCTTCCTCTCTCCCTCTTAAATGATTAGAAACAACTTTATGAACTATGAAAACATATGTTATGGCATTTTCCACATAGGATAAGCAGCTACGGACCACATAGCAAATCAGTAATTTTCCATATAATTACTGTAGCATTTATAGCAATTGAATATTATCCAGCAATCCCAAACCTCCTTAAATTGTGAGTTTTGATCTATTTGTGTAGCTGTTGACTCGCCCCAGCTAAACTAAATTTTGGGTGACGGAATGTTATTATTAGCTATGGTTATTTAAACAAAGCTGGAGAGTACGGGTAGGAGATGGACAGAAGCATATACCTGAGTTCTGAAAGGCAGAACCTAGATAAATTCTACATGGGTGCATACGTGTATGCCTCTAAGAACAAGTGAAAATATGACTGCTTGTGTCTGTTATTCGGCAGATGTTTACAATTTTCAAGAGAGTGCAATAAAACTCATAAAATATAAAACTCTGTAAGACTGCTACATGAAAGCTAAAAGTTAAAGGGCTGACTAATGATTGCACTCAGTTTATTTGTAGTTGTAATTTCATCTGACATGTATTTTCCATACTGAAGACTAGCATAAAAAGGACAAATACACAAGAGTAACAGGTTTGTTTTAGGCCATTTTACCTTATTATACTAAAGTTGGAAATACAATCTTGCTACTGAAAGCAGACTCTAGACCACACAGAAAGATAAATTCACTATTCCACAACCATTATAGAATACCTGCACCACAGTGAGCATATCTCTGAGTGCAATTATATGAAACTGAACCTGCTAGGGTTAAAAGAAATAGTAAACTCTTAACAAGTCAAAATTCCAATCAGAACATCATGGTTGATTTGGTTTGAATCCTGAGATCAGAAGGCCTTCTAGACAAACTCCCAAGACACCATTCTCTCCAATTATGTCACATATCCAAATTAGACAAGCAATTGCTTGCAGAACATAAGTTCCAAGTAGCTCAACCAAGTGATTGCAAATCTCATGCAAGAGAGAAACATTTTAAAACCAGGTTCAATTATTGGTATATGAATTTGTCGTGGTAGAGTCCTGAAAATGCTAAAGTGACACAGCTAAAGTTCTAACATTTGATTTCATGTGTGTAAGTAGTCATAGGTAAAGTCCCCTGTTGGCAGAATCTGGAATACAATTAGCTAATATGAGTTATTTTCCTCAAATGAACTCATTTATTTCCGAACATATTCAAAATTCGGGGTCCATTACACCCCAAAGAGTGGCGTTCCTCCAATCTAAAACCTTTTAGTGTTCCCATTTCCCTGCACCTGAAGCTCTTCCATTCACAAAGTATGGCATATGAAATATGGAACTAGCAGCATCCTAATTACATGGAGTCAACGAAAATATGATTTCCAGCATGTCTGACAGTCATTAAAAATATTAATGCAGCATACCATGAAAAACCACATTTTCTCAAAGTATAAATTTCCTGGCAAACAAGGGTCAAAATAGACAATAGTCTGTGTTTTGAAGAATTTGGAAGATACCTTTCAATTCGTAAAATACATCTTTTTGTCACAATATGTGATTTTTTTACCTCAATTTTTTTGCATTTAGCTAGTTTTATGTTTGATAGGTCATTAGAAGAAAAATGTAGGCTTAATATGGCAGTATGAATGTTGAGGTACAAACTCTGAGAAAATCCAATTTTCAGAGGAAAAAATAGATCAATCAGAGGGAATACACATTCCTTTAATGTCCAATTTGACCCTTATGTTCTGTGATGTTAGTGTCCCATGTCCTATGGAAGCAAGAGTTCTCATACTTTCACCAAAACTAGGTGGGTATATTTTGGAAAGAAGCTACAGGGCAACTGCAATGGCAGTAAGGACCATCACTGGAACATTTTTTTTAAAGACAGGACTAAATTTTACTAAAGTTTCAGCACAATTTTTAAAAATTCACAATGTAAACTAAGAATACATAGGGGCAGCTTTATTTGTCATTAGCAATTGACTCCAAACTCTGGTAAATGCTACATAAACATTGGTTACACACATACGACCATGGGTCAAAATCATAAGCAGGAACGTAAATATATGTAATTGTTCATGGAACTCACTCTCCTCCCACCACCCCACCCATAGGAAAAGTTAAGACCAAGCGATATGTTTGGGTTTATTTTCCTGCCCCACCAGTCCATTTGCTGGTCTGCATCCAAATACTGATTCCCACAAGAGCCTCCAGTACCAGCCCAAGGCATTTTACTTCCTGAAATGAAGCAGTGAACAGGACAGGACAGGACAGGACAGAACAGATGTAGGTACAAAGTACTTAATAGCAGCCAAGGGGCAGCGGCACAAAATCCCACACAGCCCAAGACGGGAAGTAAAGTGCCACCTCCACATTGCCCAAGGACACCCCATCAACAGTCACTGCTGTGCTGTTGTCACACCATGTGTCACTCAGGGATGCCAAATTATTATTTTGGGCTCACCTCAGCAGGCCCAGTAGCCCAGAGAGTTTTAATTTAGCCATGCTCAGAATCATGGTAGCTGGCAAACTATTTCCTCTGCCAGTCAGTGTTATGGCAAAAGACCATGAGATAAAAAAGAGCTAAGAGGGACCCAATAACCAGTGCTGGTTGATGTGGGGATGCTGCTCAAAAACTGATTGTTGCAAAGCAGAACGAAGGAGCTACAGATGAAGTTTCTCCTCATGCCAAGTGCCCATCCAGGTTCTATCTCTGTACCTAGTAGGTTTTAGCAACCATCTTGCCTTATGGGAATGCCTACTATTATTAAATGTTTGATAAAAATGTAATATTGTTATTCCATCCTGTCATTAATATTTACATCCAGAAGGCCTGACAGCTGTCATTATCACAACAGCTCTTGAGCAGCTTGGGAAAGCATTCTATAGTCCCTTACTATAGAAGTGAATTAACAGCACACACAGAATATGCATTTAGACAAGCAAATGAGTTTGAATACGGCAGCAGACTATGGCCTAATTCCTCTGATGGCCTGAACTTGAAACTTCATAACAATAATTGATGCCACACTCAGTGGGGAGGGAGCTGGTTCAGAAGATGTTGCAGGTAACATAAGAAAAACTTCAACAGGTAAAAGAATAGGAAAAGAATGGCTCACACGCCATGAAAAAAAATGTCCTTCAAGTTCCTATTCTTGTGGGAAAAGCTCTTCTCCTTCAAAAATATGTAGTTTCATTTCTGTAACAGTCTCAGAAATTCCCTTTGAACTTTTATCCAGACACATAAAGTGTTATGTCATTCTTGCTTGCAGCAATTTGGAGAATGATATTGCCTCATATTGTTCCTCATTGCTCTCACTGAATAAAAGATTAACTGTGGGGCCACACACACACACAAAAAAAAGACAGGGTATGGGAAATTTAGGAAAGAAAAAGTGCAAAAGAAATGCAACCACGGGGGCCTCATTCATGCTGGGATTGCTACACTGGGAAAAGCACAGGTTATTCCACTGAGATGGCATCAGTGGAACAGTGTCTTCTCTTAGTTTTAGCATATAATCCTGCTTCAACAGGATTCTAGACTCTGATAATTAAATGTTATGGTCTATGCTATGGTGTCCTCTGGTAAGGTTTGTAGAACAAGATTGTACTGTCTTTAGGCCCGAACAGTTCAGAACATGC